TAATGAAGGGCACCATCCAATCGTTTTCAAACACCATTATCCACCTTAGTTTATTAGGCCAATATGCCACTTTTGGCATGGTTTTGGAGAAGATTTTTCTCAGCTTGGGGTTGCCTGGAATTTCCAAACCAGATTCTTGAAAGCTTTACCAGATGGTGCAAAATGGAGATGATCCTGCATAAGTGCTTATGAGACTACTCTGCAATGGCAAATCTTTATTTTTGTTGACATTGTGCATGAAAGGAAGTATGGTTGTTTTGAAAGTTAGTGGTACAATGGGACTAACAATGGGTTTATGATGATTTGTTTTCATTATTATAGAATATTAATTGACAGATTTTAGGAAAATGGTAAAGAAAAATTAAAGGGGTCGTATGACGATGATAAAAATAACATTATTTTGTGTATTTGGTGTAATGCAATGTGTTTATGCAGTTTAAGGTTAAAAAAACACATTATTTTCCACATACCATACATTATTGTTGCTCCTCTTTGCCCCGCCTTTCTGAAAAGCGTAGATTTTTACAAAGCTCATCATTCTGAAAACCTCTGACTGGACAGCTGTCCTGTGTGTTGTGATTGGCCAAATACCTCAAGCACGTGACGGAAATGTTACGCCCCTTACTATATTTGGAAACCCACAGCTTTTATAAAGAATATCTCTTTGGGTTTGAGACTTTAGTCTTTGCAACTTTACAGATCTTATATATGCACAATCAGCTTACAACACTCCAAAGACAAAGGAAAACCTCATCATATGACCCCTTTAAAAATTATATGAAAAAGGCAATTAGATACCTCAAAGTAGGTGAGGTATTGTGTCCAAATACTTTTGATATAGCAATACACTTTTGAGTAACATTTAAGCTGAATAATCAAATGAAAATTTATTTTCTATATACACGCTATTCAACTTATGGTTAACGATTCAGCCATACATGTTTCATATGTTTTTTACATTTTTTTTTATTTTATGGATGGATGGATGGATGGATAAATTGATTGACCTGGTGAAATGACTTCTCACTGGTGGCATTTGAGGTCCAGTCATTCTGTTCCTGTAAACCCCACCCCTTTCTTACAGACAACTGCAAGCTTACACATCTGCCTCCAAGTCCCCACCATACATTTTTTTTCTTTTTGATAATGTGTTTCATGGATGTACATCACAATACGAAAGGAAAGATCTGTCGCAGACTTTAGGTATTTTGTTTTTACATTTTGTACTTCAGTCTTTAGGCCGCACAGTAGTACTTCTATCATTATGAACTTCTGTGCAAACAAATCTAAGACGTCTGATGAAATGGTGTCTATTTTTTTAAGCTATATTTATGGGCTTTATGCCTTTATTAGGACAGGACAGTAGAGGGTAGACAGGAATGCATTTGATGGAGAGAGGGGGGCAGGATCAGCAAAGAACTTTGAGACGGGAATCAAACCCGGGTTGCCGTGAGCACAGTTGCGCTATATGTCGGTGAACTAATCACGAGGCTATCGGCTAAATTATGTCTATTTTTAAATCTTTAAGAGCTCAGTGGTGATATTTTTAACATGGATGTTGTCTGAGATGTCTAGTAGTACATATATAGAGTTCAAACACACATCCTAAGACATGCTCACTGTAAAGCCATTCACATGAATCACATTCCCCTCGAGTGGACTGAGGAAGCCAGTCAGACACTACCGGTTCTAGTCATGTTTTTTATATGATTTGTGAATTTGGCTCTGGTACAAGTGCTCGCGAACACTAGAATCCCATTATAATTCCCATATCACAATATAAAACTGCAACAGCTGAGGCATAAAAACAACACCGTACCAACTCCATTGAAGTCACAGGAGATGCTGCAGAGCAATATCGCACCAAACAGATACCGCGGGCCCACTCTGATCATCACTTGATAGTGTGCTGACAAGCAAACTCTATTAAGCTGTCTTCAAATATGCAAAATGATATGATTTTACAATGATTACATATTCACTTCCCAGCTGGCTGGCTCCGTGCAGCTCCATTTGTCATTGACTATTGTGTCCAATTATATGATTAGCTCCAAACACTCCGCCACTTGGAGAGCTCTCGTGTGTTCCAGTGCACTGACTGATTCACAAACAAAGTCATTACAACATGTATTCACACATATCAAATAACAAACAGATGGCCATTGTGTGCCGGCTGATTTGTTTGCAGCATGAGCTGAAGAAAAAAGGTAGTTTTTTTGCTGGGGTTTGTTTAAGCAGCGACTGTTTTATTCCCAGAGAGAGACATCTGGCTGCCGAGGCGGCTAAATCAACTCAAATGAAAGACAATCTTGTTTCCATTAATTTTTCCTGTGGCAAAAGCACTTGTTATGAAGATTCTAAATTACTGAGAAAGCTTCCAGATAATTCATCATATGGGCCGGACAGAAGACTGCAGTTGCTCACAGAGTGTCTGTCTCCATTAACTTGCTGTGATGTGTATCAGGTGGGGTGTGTGTGTGTGTGTACGTGTGTGTGTGTGTATGTGTGTTAACATTTACATTGCAAAACTTACAGTAGTGTAATTATGTAGTTTTGGGCAAATTCTCCTAAACATGTTAAACTGAAACCTCATTTTGCTGAATGTATATAGTGGTGCCAAAAAGATTTTGGACATTTAAGTCACATTAAAAAGTCATAATTTTTATTGCATTAAATGCAAAATATCAAACCAGGTGGCATCTGCGAAGAAATTATGTTACAGCTTTCCACTGAACTCATTTGTAGAACTAACTGGTCTCAAGGGGATTTTTATGTATGATGTTAGTTCCCTTCAAGTTCACACAGGTGTCCTAGTAGCTAGTAGAACAACCACAGGTGTAGTTATTCATATTAAAAACTGTTCGAAACAGAAGTTGTGTCTGAATTTACTTCAGTAGTGTGACACTGCCAAGTGAAATGGAATAATGATAGGGGAAAAAATAGACAGCGGGCTAGATTTTAGAAGGAAGGTCACTGTAAATTTTCTATTAAATATTGCAACAACATTTTTTTCCTGTGGAAAAAGACTAGTAATGTGCACTAACAAAGTAAATGTATCATTTTTGATTGCATGTGGACTTTAACATGCCGTATGAACATGTTCCACTAAGCTTGACGGTTTCCCAAACACACCTACTGCTCCTCCATCTGCAGCTGATTGAGTCAAAAGTTGCCTTGTAAGACTTAAGAAAGCAGAGCAATGTTTTAAAAGCACCACAGTGTTTACAGTCTTCAGGAGGAGTAACTGCTTGTTTCTGAATATTAAACTTGGATTGAAGACAGTATTGAAGAAAAGTACATATCAATTTTAATTAAGCTTAATCAAGTAAAGTGCAGCGTATACATTAAGTGTATGGGTATTTGATGCATAACAGATTGATAGTTTTTTACAGCATCATTTTTTAAGTTTAAAATTGATATGAATGTGTAAGATCTTATAACCAGTCACCATCATTTTTTTTTTTTTTTTGCTTCAGTTTTTCATGTAAATTATCCTGCAATTTGGCATTTTAAAAAATTACAAATATTACATACAGTGTCTCAGTAATTATTAGGTCACAAAACCTGCAAAACATGAAGAGTAATTATAACAGAATGAGAAAAGAAACACTTAGATCGGATATATAGCCACAGGATGTGTCAGCTTCCCAAAGAAGAAATCAGTCCATCTGTCAGCAGTCACATATTTTATGGAAAGTTAAAGAAAACATAGAGAAATTTTTAATTGAAAAGTTCATTTAAAACTATAAGCAGATATAATGCTACTTTCAAGTCATTTGTTAAGATTACACGACACCACCTGATGGTGATATTGAGATAAAGCACTGTGAGAATAGCATAAATGTGCCCTGGTCAGTAGCGCCACCTGCTGGCGTTTTATGTACTACAGGTCAAGTGTACTGTCATGTGTTGTACCAAAATCCTGCTTCAGTTCGGTGTTAATTGTGACCAGCTTGTATTAAAAAAATTGGTGCAGAATATGTGTGTGTGTGTGTGTGTGTGTGTGTGATGATGATGACAATGATTCGTTACAGATGATACTCAACTATATATCTCAACAAGACCAGATGAAACTTCTAAATTATCTAAGCTAACAGAATGTGTTAAAAATTTAAAAGATTGGATGACTTTTTTTCTTTTTCATTAAATACCAAAATGATTAGAGATAAAGTGCTCTTACGTAATTGAATTACCTTTTCACTTTTTGGGAAATTGAATGTGCATTACATCCCACATTGAAAGGTAGTATCTCGTTTTACACTTCTAAAAGGACCAAATATACATATGCACTCCTTTTGAACTAACCTCTTCAAAGACATTCGCTGTTTCTGAAGATCATACTTCGTATGACAAAAAAGCATGCTTAGCAAAAGACTAACATGTTCTGCACAGATTGTGCAAAGACCGCAAAGAAAGTTTTGCCATGCAAACTACTTCAAAGACCTTGCTGTGATTATGTAACAACACACTGTAAACCCGAAAAAAAAGTTGAGGTAATTTTTTTAATGAATTTTTAAGTTAATAAATTCAAAGTTTAATTAAGATAAAATATTTGAGTAAGCCAACTATTAAAAACTATTTAAAATAAAAAAAAATCGGTTAATCTCAATTTAAATATGTTTAGTAGTGGAAGCTTAATTTGCTATAACTAGCTAATTCAGTAAATGCTAACTTGTTCATTGGTAAAGCAATGCTTTAATTAGTATATTGCTGAATGAGGCAGTAAAGAACATTCATAAACCAAACTCATGCTTCACTCGTTGCCATGACGGTATTAGCATAGCAAAACACTGAACTTAAATCTCCCATAACATAATTTTACCCTCCATTTTCAGTTCATTAAAGAAACAAGTTAATTAAATTCAAAACAATGAAACAATTCAGATTGCTTAATATATTATGTCGTTTCATGAACTCAAAAGAAAAAGAAAGTTTGAAATACTCATGCAATTGAATAAAAATTAATTTGTTTAAATTCAAGTTTAATTCAAGTTTGCTCTACTCAAACACCAATTTATTATTTTGAGCACTCGGGTTTACAGTGCATCCCCATTCTGGCCTAATTGTTTTATATGTATACAAGAAAACTATTAAACATTTGATAAATATTTCACTATATGTGGCTCTAACTCTAGCATCCCAATTTATAACTTGAATTTTACTCGATTTTAAAAACTCTCAATTTTTAAAACGGCACACGCACTTGCAGCATGAAACACATCCACTGGGGAAAAAAAGAGTTTGTTATAGGGTGTGTTCACACATAAAGTTATTGTGCCATCTGTGGTAATGCATATCTGGCAGCAAAACTGATAAAAGTTTAACTTTATGCAAATGAGCAGTGATGCAATGCAGCAGCCATTGAAGACACTGGAGCACATGTGACCAGTCTCGTGAGTTGACTGCATATTAACTGCAGACCTGCTGTTACTGTGAGCAGTTTCACTATTTAGTATAATCATTCATTTTGATCTGCAGTTCTGTAATTTAATTTCAAACACTGACATGTTTACATTCAGTTTACATTGCTACCATCAGCTGTATTATTCCTCAGATCATGGCACTGGTCAGGTTGCTGAGCGAGCGAATGCTGTTGGTGTGAAGGCTCTTCCTGCGAACGCTCCTCAGGTAGTTTCTGTACAAGATCACGCTGATCACACGGTCCTGAAACTGCTTCGACACAATGTAGAAGAGTATGATGTCCAGCACTGTGCTGGCGTTCATCAGGAAGGTGGTGAAGGCCCCCCAGGTGTTGTAACCCCTCTCACTGCTGGCCAGCAGCATGGAAACAAAACAGATGTGGAAAGGCACAAAGCACACCAGCACCTGAACGATCAGTGTGATGATGATCCGGATGGACTTCTGCTTGACTTTGGGCTTCAGTTTGGACGTGCGGCCGTGGATGAGGTTGTCCACGATGATTATGTAACAGCCCACCATGATGCACACCGGCACCAGGAAGAAGAAGACGATGCGTGCGAAGTGGACGGGATTGTCGCGGCGCAAGTAAATAATGTCGTGCATCTTGATGCAAGTGGTATAGTTTGTGTTGCGGTCAGGGTCTTCCTCCAGGAGAACAAGCGGAGCTGTGCTGCCCAGGGTCATGATCCAGACTCCCGCACAGGACAGCAGGGCTTTACGGACACTTTTCAGTTCTCGGGTGTGTCGCGGCTGCACTATGGCCACGTAGCGATCTGTGCTAATGAGGGCGAAGAGCCACAAGGCCAGGCAGGGATAGAGCACCGTTATTGCGGCGTTGATCCTGCAGAACACGTCTCCAAAGGGCCAGTAGTCTTGACTGTAGTAGACCATTCGAAAAGGCAGCAGTAAGATAAATACCAAGTCCACTAAAGCAACATTGATCATGTAAACAGTGATGGAGTTCCGTCTTTTAGTGGTCAAGGCAAAGACCCAGAGTGCGGTCAGGTTGACCACTGTGCCTATGATGAAAATAATCCCATAAAACACTAGGCTAACAGTCCGGTATACTTGGGCGGCGTGGCTTTCCATGATGACTGGCGAAGATGTGTTATGATCCATGATGGTTTGCCTGATTTGACCATAAAAAAGAAACCAATGTAAAACAGTAGTTTTTTTAAAACTGTTTCAGAGTTGAAAAAAAAGGTAATAGACCTTCGTCAGGGTAGCACTATGTTTAATTTTTGACAAGAATGAAAATGAGTCTGTGAGGGATAGAAGTACAGCTTGTTCAATGGATTGTACCAATTGTTCAGTTGATGAAACATCCTTCTAAAGTAGACAAAATACCATAAACAGTTTTGAAAGTTTATACATTGCATGCCATTGTAAAGACTGTAAGTCTAAAATTCAATATGGCCTCTACACTGAGTAAGGCCTATTCAAACTTATCTTACAGTTGTAACTTTATTTCTGGTAACTCTGTAGTATTTTCTTGTAGTTTCTTGTAACTGTGACCTTGTGTATTGCAAATGTGATTTTATATCTCACTATGTGACTTTATATCTTATTTTAAACTCACAATGTGTTTTACTCAATTTTTTAAATATTTTTTTACTTACACTAAATAGTATAGTAGAAAACATATACAAGACTTCTTTACATTTAGGGAGATGTTTTAAAGGAATAGTTCATACAAGTACAAAAATATTTGTAATTTCAAACCTGTATGCCTTTCTTTTGTCAGTGTAGAACAAAAAGTATTTTTGCAAACAACATGAAGTGAGTACATGATGACAGAATTGTCATTTTGGGTGAACCATCCTTGTAAGACATGCCACTTTTTCTTTTCATTCGAATTTGAGGGTTAGAAAAAAATGTTAAGACATCAGGTTTTAAAAAAGAGAATTGAAAGACAATCCTTCTTAAATATAAGTGTTAAGGTACAAAAAAGAAAAAACTGTAACAAAATGTTTAATATCAGTCGGTATACCAATTCATCAGATTAAGGAAGAATACTACTTTTACTACAGAAATCTGTGCAGCATTAATTTATATTCACCAACAGTCATCCTGTACCTTAAATGATCAATCTACAAAAGTTTTTGAATATATACCGCTGTGCTGATGAATGTTCTACTTAACTATTCAGCTTTATATAGAAACCACATTTGACCTACAACATAGACTTCTGATATGACTGGCTGTTTGTAACTCCGATTGGTTTTCAATGGCCAAATTTTGTTCTACAAGAATACAAAGTAAAACAATTTAAAGGTACCAACCTCAGAGATCCATGTTGCTGGCATCGTAACTGTTCTGAGGGCTGTACGGTTGAAGACTATAATGTGCCCTCGCAGCCGAGCTTCGATCTAACAGAGGAAGTCATGAAGCCCGTGTCTTTATTTAGATTAGAATTTTTCTTTTGGTTTCTGTGAAGCCCCTTCACTTCCTGTAATGCATGTACTGGTGGAGAATATATCTCAATAGCAAACACTATGTCATATGCAGTTTGAGAACAGTGGAGAAGTAAAGATGTGACAGGTTTGGGTGCTGGTTATTGATTGGGAAAATAGGGTTTGTCACACAGCATTAGCTCTCTTGGGAGCAGCACACAGCAGGTGGCAACAGAAGGCATCTGGTGTTGAAGAGTTTTAATTAAACACAGGATGCTGAGGTTGGTGGTGTATAAACAGGAAATGAGATCTTTGTAATGTAGGTTTGAGACAGCATCTCATCTTAAAATCACAGGACGAAAAGAAAAAGCTCTAGACCTGACCAGGCAGAACATTTTTAGACAAACTCCCTTTTTCAAACTACTTTGGCTGAGGTCAACTGACATGTGTCATCTGAAATCTTGTGTCACCATTTGCTTACATTTATGTAATTTCAAACCTGGTTCTGTCTCTGAGGAACACAGAAGAACATGTTTTGTCAAAAATGTATTTTTGTTTCTCCAAAAATATTTTTGTGAGTAAATGTTGACACTTTTATTTTTTGGGGTGGGGGGTGAACTATCCCATTAATTACTGTTGTTGTTGTTGTTCTGTGACTAACCTGTGGTAACAAAACCCACATGAGTGGAGTGTTCCAGCAGCTACGCTACAGCCGGAAGTTTAATATTCTAATGTGTGAAAGAACGTACTTTAAAAACATCAACACTAAAACACTGTAACATGTGTAGTACATTCATATTCTCCATCATTGTGTTCCACTGTGAACTGTTACCTCTAATATTCATGCCAATGTGACATGACACCTACACTGTACATCGACTGATTCATTCACCCTCGTCTAAAACACTGTCTGACATTTCCTCTGCTCAACAATCGCCTACATCAGGAAGTCACTATAGTTTTAACTTGCCCATATGTGGATTACTGACACACAAACATCGTTCTGTTAACTGATCTGTAGTAGAAACCTGGGGATTTTTGTTTTTGGTCGAGATTCTTGTGAAAGTAAAGAGAAATGAACTATAAAATGAGGAACGTCTGCATGGTCTCTGAGTGCACGTAGACATTTTTTTCAGTTCCTCCATATTAAAAAAAGAGGAAGGAAGGAAAGTCCTATAAACAACCATAACGTAAATAATATACACTTTTTTCCAATTACATACACTCTTAAAAATAAAGGCGCTTAAAAGGTTCTTCACAGCGAATACCATACACTCTTAAAAATAAAGGTGCTTCAAAAGGTTCTTCAAGCGATGCCATAGAAGAACCATTTTTGCTTCCACAAAGAACCATTCAATCAAAGGTTCTTTAAAGAACCATCTCTTTCTTGCCTTTTTTATAATCTAAAGAGCCTTCTTTCGCCACAAAGAACCTTTTGTGAAACAGAAAGGTTCTTAATATGTTAAAGGTTCTTTATGGAACCATTTAGACAAAAAGGTTCTTCTATGGCATCGTGAAGCACCTTTATTTTTAAGAGTGTAGAAGAACCATTTTTAGTTCCACAAAGAACCATTCAGTCAAAGGTTCTTTAAAGAACCATGTCTTTCTGACCTTTTTATAATCTGAAGAACATTCTTTCGCCACAGAGAACCTTTTGTGAAACAGAAAGGTTCTTCAGATGTTAAAGGTTCTTTATGGAACCATTTAGACAAAAAGGTTCTTCTATGGCATCGTGAAGCACCTTTATTTTTAAGAGTGTAGCCTGTGCATCAATAGGCACAATTTTGAGAATCTTGAAGGAATGTAGTGGATGTATTAGATGGGTATAAGCAATCTGGCTTATGTTTTCTGGCAAAAATTTTAGCCATTTAGCCATTAAATATTGCAAATATTTGAATATTTTATATGAAGTTATGAAGCACTCTCTCCATTGTAAATATACTCGTATCACTTAGAGCTTGGGCAATTCAAATGAATGTATACAATCTGGGCAATGCAAATAAGACTCCCAACATGCCTTATAAGCCGGTCACTTTTCCTCCAAAAGATAATGAATGAGTCAGTGTTTTTTTATATATATTAATGATTTCATTACCAATTCCATACATAGCATTATAGATTCTAGAGAAGTGAATATTATAGTTCTAGAGAAGGGACACCTGAATAATGACTTAATCTCATTGTTTGTGTAGACTTATATGGAAATATGAGATGGAGGCAATAGAGACTTGAGAATCTAAAACTGAGACACTGTGATCTGAGCTGTCATACATAACATTTAATACATAATATGGTGTTATTTTTTATGGGTTTGTATGTTCCTGTAATACTAGGAGATAAAGGTAGATGGGTAAACAGGTCATATTAATACAGTCATTATTAAACAGTGCCGCAATGTAAATTACATAATATAAAACATAGTTTGTCTGGATACTGTACTGAATATAACTTCCTAAAATGATAATAATAAAACTGTAAGTTTTTTTCAAACGAAATATGGTATTACCATGACATTCTATGAATGTTTAATATGATTATGTGTATCTTATTATCCTAACCACAAGCTAGCTGAAGCAAAATAAAAAACAAAATAAAATATAATAAAAAAAAGAGAAAGAGAAATGTTTATTTCACCATATGTACTGTAGTGTTGGCTATATAATGTGAAAGGTACTATATCATTTAAAGTTCACACATCAACAAGCAGCATTGTAGGATTTTTTAATTAGGCACCAAAACGTCTGAAATTAAAATGCTACTGTTGTTTGTTTGTTTGTCAGGCAGTGCTTGCAGTGAAGAGTCAGTTGTTGTCAGACTTTTTTACTGTGCCAGACAGTGAATCTCTAGGCCTAAAGTGTAGAAGATTTTTCTATCAATGAAGGTTCAGACTGTGTCCCTTTTCCTGTAAAAAGGATCATTTCAAGGAGGTTTGAAGCAACACAGCAACTTCCATCCATTTTTGCAAAGTTTAGCTAACCACAACTCCCCCTGCATCTGCTGTTCTGCTTCTCTGGGGTCTTGGTCAAGTTGCCTCGTATTGGTCTTGAACTTTTTCCTGTTTTTGTCTGTGGTGTCACTGAAACATTATTTCACTTCCCTTTAGAAGATGAACTATTTGGCCAGTTGTCATACTAATTATTTTGATGCAATTCAGAAACTATTTTCAGTCAACTAACCAGTCACAATGAGTTTGCAGCAAACCTTTTACATACATTTAAGTGCCTTCCTGAAGACCAGAAAAGTAAGAATTTTAATTCAATTTATGATAATAAGCAAATTAATCTCCCAACCTCTCTAAGATATATTAGCACTCTGGTTTTTCATCATGAACTGATGGAGCACTTTAATATAATATGATATGATATATGATATGATATATCAATATAAGCATGCACAAAGTTTCCCATGTAAAAGGAAAGAAGTGACATCTGTTGTCTTATTCATAATGTTTACTTTCGGCTTTGTGGCTCCCTCTTCTGGCTATTTGTTGTCATTGCACTGAATTCAAAATTTACCTGGCTTTAAGATCTTGGTCAAGACTAAAATAAAATTTTGAACCAGTCAATGTGAATGGACAGATTTTTCTTTTCTTTCTTTCTTTCTTTTTTTTGAGCATTCAAATCTGCTGAAAAAAAAATTTTTTTTAAAGACTGGTCATAACTTTTTTAAGTCGGGTATATAAAAATGTAGATTCAGTTGAATCTAAAAAATAAGACTTATTACCAGTTGGCTAACTAGTTGGTCAGATTCTCAGGTTGCGAGTCTAGGACCCGCAAACCAACTTATGCTGTTTTTCCGGAAGGGTAGTGTAGCGAATCAGCTCATTCATGGGGAAATATGAATAATTAATCGTAACTAGTTATAATTAATTATAAATATTTAGATCCGCTGTAGATATTTACTTGACCTCTCAGGGTCAACTGTCTGTCAATTCTAAGAACGTTAATTTCCTGGTTAAGGGAAATTACTTTCTTACTGTACAATTCTACACAGAGCTTGTAGCATAAATCTGCATGATTAAGGGACTCCAGTTATGAGCAAACAATGAACAACATCAAGTGCGATACAAGTAAGGCTTTATTAACTACATAAACACTTAAACTAGTCTAACATACTACATAAACACTTAAACTGGTCTAACATACAAATACACACTTAAACTGGTCTAACATACACATAAACACACACACACACACACACATACAGTTGGTATAGGAAAGGGTTAAAGCTTAACCAGTAAAGAGGAAATAAGGAATGAAGTTATGGAACCATTTGCATATTCAGCAGATCTACACCTGAGGGAAACATCAGATTCTTAGTTCAAACACACCTTTGTAAAAAGGTGCAAATGATACCTAATGTATCAATTAATAAGACTAAGTTTGAATACTTGCACGTCTCGTCTGTCTGAAAGAAAGGCTTGATGCAGTCCAAAGGTTCAAGTTGATCTTTGCTGAAGTTGGTTGATGAAAAAGAACCAGTTTGAGTCAGAGAATCTTGGTGAATGGAAAAGTCAAGGCCGAAGCCTGGCACGTACTTAAGGATGTCCTGGAGCATTGTAGCTCACATCTTCTCAGAACCTAACAGAACCATCGACTCTGGGCGGGTCACATGGTGTGATGCCTTTAAGGTCGGAGAAGATCCACGCCTCTCAAGATGGGCTTGTCCAATGAGAAAGGCCGGAATCCCAAGCGGGAGGTTGCAATTACTGGAGGGTTTTACGACCCTTTGTCTCTAAGCATGGTAATTTGCAAATGGAACTTGAATCGAAATTACTAAAGATTCTCAGGACACTAATATATTGCCTATGTACCAACATATAATATACACGCTCGTTTAGATCATCAGAAGGCGAATTCATAGATACTAAACAAGGTAGGATTACATATAG